CTGCCTCTTGGCCCCCATCCCTGTGGGACAAAGCGATGCAGGTGTGGTCGTTATGTGTCCTCGCTCGTCTCCCATTGTCTTTCCCCACCCTCCTCCCTCTCCCTCCCCCATCAGCCCCTGCTGCCTCTTGGGCCCCATCCCTGTGGGACAAAGCAATGCAGGTGTGGGCTGGCCGCATGTGTGCTCGCTCGTCTTTTGAGACGTCTCAAAAGGCGAAGCAGGTGTGGGCTGGTCGCATATGTCCTCGTTTGTCTCCCACTCGCTCCCTCCCCACTTTTCTCGCCCATACCACCCTTCCCCCTTTTCCTCCCTCCCCCCACCCTCCTCCCCCTTCCCCCATTTCCTCCGCCCACCACCCTCCTCCCCCTTCCTTCCCCAATCAGCACCTACCCCACCCCCATCCCTGTGGGACAAGGCAAAGCAGTGTGGTCGCGTGTCTCATCCCTCGTCTCCTCCAAACCCTCTCTGCCAGTGAACGAAACAGGTGGGTCTGTCTAGTCGTAACCTGTAACTGGCACCTAGTAACTAGTGTGTAGTGGTTGGGACTGAGTTTATGGGCAGGTGTGGTCGCGTGTCTCATCCCTCGTCTCCTCCAAACCCTCTCTGCCAGTGAACGAAACAGGTGGGTCTGTCTAGTCGTAACCTGTAACTGGCACCTAGTAACTAGTGTGTAGTGGTTGGGACTGAGTTTATGGGCAGGTGTGGTCGCGTGTCTCATCCCTCGTCTCCTCCAAACCCTCTCTGCCAGTGAACGAAACAGGTGGGTGTGTTAGCACTGTGGTTGGTGCCGAATACGGTACCTCGGAATCGGTGCCAGGTGTGTTCAAAGCAGTCAGTGAGCAGGTGTGGTCGTGTCGCGTGTCTCCTCCTCGTCTCCTCCAAACCCTCTTTGCCAGCGAACGAAACAGGTGGGTGGTTGGGTCTGGTGCGACTGGAAACTGGTACCTACCTCCCTGGAAAATGGTGATGGTTCTTTGTGAATACGGTTGCACGCTCTCTCCTGTTCTTTGTGAATACGGTTGCACGCTCTCTCCTGTTCTTTGTGAATACGGTTGCACGCTCTCTCCTGTTCTTTGTGAATACGGTTGCACGCTCTCTCCTGTTCCAGACCTGCCCGCGATCCCTGGAGAATAACCACTCCATCATTCCAGTTGCACCGGAAAAACCCGTCGAAGCATAATCCTTTACCCCTTTCCCCTCAACTCAACCCGCTCCTCCTGCTGCAGACCTGCTGACGATCCGCTCCGAGTACAACGTTATCTCGACCAAGCTCAGCAAGGCGAGGGGCCGGCTGCGCACGGTCAAAGAAAAGCTTGAGAAGGACCTGGGTGAGTGCGGTGTGGTGCGGTGCGGTACGATGCGGTGCAGTATGGTGTGGTTATGAGCCGAGGGGAAACTGCGGTGTGCAATGGATACGTGAGCAAAGCGAGGGGGCGGCTCCGCACAGTCAAAGAAAAGCTTGAGAAGGACCTGGGTGAGTGAGGTGTGGTGCGGTGCGGTGTGGTGGGGTGTGGTGCGGTGCGGTGTGTTGTGGTGAGCCAAATTATTGGGCGGGCTGCGCACGGTGAAAGAAAAGCTGGAGAAGGACCTGGGTGAGTGAGGACTGTCACTGTGGGGTGAGTAAGGACTGCTGTGGGGTACTGTCGGGTACTGTGTGGTGCTGTGAGGTGCTGTGTGCTTCTGTCTCTGCAAGGAGTACAACATGATCTCATCCCAGCTCATCAAAACGAGGGGGCGGCTTCTCTCGGTCAAGAAAATCCTTGAGAAGGACCTGAGTGAGTGCGGGGAGGTGGATTAGGTGTGGTCTGGTGCGGTGTGTGGTGGTGTGGTGAGTGTGGTCTGGTGTGGTGAGTGTGGTGCAGTGCGGTGTGGTGCGGTGCGGTGCAGTGTGGTGCTGTGTGGTGTGGTGTGGTGTGGTGTGGTGTGGTGTGTCTTTCCTCTGACATTCACTTCATTGTTCACTTTCTTTCTGGCATTCACAACATCGTTCTCGTTCTTTCTGATCTTCTCATTCTTGTTCTTTCTTTATTTACCTTTTTCCTTCCGCACTTCAGGTCCTGACGGCGAGTTTCTTTCATTCGCAGACCACTGCATCTCCTTCAATCCCAACATGTTGCTTCTGTCTCAAACCACTCGTTCCTCCCCTCCCTCGCTTCTTCCTATCCTCTTTTCGCCCTCTCCGCTGCAGGCCCTGACGGCGAGTTTGCTTCATTCGCCGACCACTGCTTCTCCTTTAAAGTCGACCAGTTAAGATGCCACGCCACATACCCTCGTACCGCACTACATACCCTCATACCGTGCCATATACGCCCATGCCATGCCACACACCCCCATGCCATGCCACGACCATGCCATACCACATGCCCCCATGCCATTGTGTGCCAGCCTGTGCTGTTGCATGTTCTGCGTTGCACCGCGTATTGAGGAGAAACAGCTCTTTGTTACTGCGTGGGGGAAAAACTACTCTCTTTTTTTTTAGAGATTCTCTTGATTATCAAGAGCGTTTCAGGCTGTCCAACTCACTCAACCCCCCTCTTCGTTCGGACCCGGGGCACTCCCAGCTATCTTATCCACCTGTCTCCATTCACTACGCCCCATTCAAAGCTGATGATCAGCGCTGGCTGTTTTGGCACGATTTTCCCCTAGTGCATTGACCCTCTTTTGTTTTCCCGCCCCATCTTTCTGACCCTTCCCACTTCCTCCCCCCCCCCCCCCACCATTCCCAGGTACGAGTATGAGGTGTGCCCTTACCGGCAGGTGAAGCAGAAGGAGAAGCATCACTCTGATACCACTGTGGGGTGAGTGAGGGCTGCTGTGCGGTGCTGTGGGATGCTGTGTGGTGCTGTGGGGTGTTGTGTGGTGCTGTGGGGTGCTGTGTGCCAGTGTCTCTGTAAGAAGGCGAAGCAGAAGGAGAAGCATCACCCCGATACCACTGTGGGGTGAGTGAGGGAGACTGTGCGGTTCTGTGTGGTGCCATGGGGTGATGTGTGGCTCTGTCGGGTGCTGCAGTGTACCACTGTGCGCTGCTCCTTACCTGCCATCATGAACCTTAGGACGCGTCACAATTGAAATACCGAGGAAGGATCGGGGGTGTTCACCGATCCTGCCAAATCGATCGCCACATCGGTGTGCCATGACTGCATTTTTGCAATCGCGGGCCCACCGCAATTCTCAAGGGACATGTTTGAAAAATCTTGGGGCAAAATCGCCCGATCTGGACGAAATTGCACGATTGATGTGTGACAAGGGCATATCGATCGCATGACTCCGAGGGGACAACTGTACATTGGCGACAGATAACGAAGCTAAGTAACCACTACTTCGCAACTTAACGAAGTACTGTACCCACGAAACACCGATCCTGCGCAGGATCGGTGTTTCAATTGTGACGCGTCCTTAGCACCTTCGCCACAACCCTTTCTCCTTGCACTTACCCCCCTTTCCATTTACCGTCTTTGCAGCCATCACACGATGATGTTCGAAAACACCTGAGTGACTGAATCCCCCTTCCATGTACCACCGCCCTCTGTTGATGAGCCTCTATTCGTCCGGCTTTGAAGACAACTATCACACGATGATGTTCAGGGACAGTCAAATCGCGCCTCTTCAATCGCCTCTCCGTCTCCCCATCCCTCCCCTCTCCCCCCTCCGTCTCCCCGTCCCCCTCCTTCCCCCTGCAATCCCTGCAGGCGTTGGTCAGGCTTTGAGGACAACTATCGCACGATGATGTTCAAGAATGGCGATAAGTGTTGGAACGGACCCAACCGGAGCATCAAGGTGTGTGGTGGTGTGGGGTGGGGCGAGGGGTGGTATAAAGTGGTATCACGCTGTGGTGTGGTGTGGAATGTCGGGGCACTGTGGGACCTTTGAGTCAGGCTTTGAGGACAACCATTGCACGATGATGTTCAAGAACGGGGATAAGTGCTGGAACGGACCCAACCGGAGTATCAAGGTGTGAGCTTCTGTCATGGTATGATGCTGGAATGATGATGTTTTAAAACGGGGATAAGTGCTGGAATGGACCCAACTGGAGCATTAAGGTGGGTGGTGGTGGGGCGATGGGATATGGGGTGTTGGGTTGGGTAAGCAGGGATATGGTTTAATTTTTCTTTCTTTTCTGGTTTATCGTGTGGAATCAGATCTCGGATCAAATGGAAGCAAGTCGCTGGACAACCTTTTTTGGAGAATTAAAAAAGAAAGAAAGAAAGAAGAAGAAAAGAAAGGAAAGAAAGAAAGAAAGTAAAGACTCACCACCCCACCACCACCACCCATGTGACCGCAGGTGAAGTTGGAGTGCGGACTGAAAACAGGCATCAAGTCAGTGGAGGAGCCAAGCCAATGCGAGTGAGCTGTGTTGTGTTGTGAAAGCGGGTAAATTTAGCCTCTCTGTTTGTGTGCCTGTCTCACTGCAGGTGAAGCTGGAGTGCGGACTGAAAACAGGCATCAAATCAGTAGAGGAGCCGAGCCGATGCGAGTGAGTGTGTCTTCCCTGTTCCACTCTTAGTGATACCTAATACCGTACATGTCCTTCTTCTTTGTTTGCGTTTTAGTTCACTCAAGAATCAGAGCGAACTGGAAGTGAGAGAGGTAGAATTAGGCAATGCGAGTGAGTGTGGCTTTACCGTTCCACTCTTTAGTTCCACCTGTTGCATACCCTTCTTCATTTGCTGTTTGGTACACTTAAGGGCCTCAAAGCCACGACAGGGAGCTCAGGCGATGCGAGTGAGTGTGGCTTTGTTGTTCCACTCCTAGTTCCACCTGTTGCATACCCCCCTTCTTCTTCATTTACGTCTCAATACATCTGAGAATCAGAGTAACCAAAATGCGTGAGACGGAGCCCAGACACTTCAGTTTTAAATTTACCATCTGGAGGCTTGCAGGGAGCCCAGCCGATGCAAACGGGTGTCTCCTTTTGCTCCACCCCTAGTGACACATCTATGGCGGACGGTTCCCGCCTCCCCCTCTCCCACTCTCCTTCCCTCCCCATCTCCCTCCACCGTATTAGGTACGAAGCGGTGCTCGTGACGACTGCAGTGTGCAACGCAGAGCTGGCACAGGTGCGGGGAAATGCGACAAATAAAACAATTTCCACCTTCCGTCATTTAATGGTGCTTGATTTTGTGCTACTGGTCTGCATGACTCTACCAGTGACAAACCTTTTGTCATTCTTTTTTCTGTTCTGTCTATGTTATTTCAAGTGGAGTTACCTAGTCCCCTGGTGCGAAAAAATTAACACCTGTGCTACTTTATTGCAGGAGCTGGAGAGGCAGCTGAAGGAGATGGAGGATGATTTGGCTGGTCACGATGAGCTGTAACATTCTAGACGTTAGGGGTGTAACAGCTATAATGAATTGTATAATTTACGGTGATGGAGCAGAAGAAGGTACAAGCATCCTTTATGGGGAGGGAAGTGGGGTAGTGGGGTAGCCAATATGGGGTACAGCCCACTTTAGGGTTTCATATTTGTACCCAACTCTATCATAGTTCAATCATTCCTACTGCCAGATTCTAACATGGTATCAGAGCACTAGGTCCGTAGGACCATTTTTTTCGGGCCCACCTACCGTTGCAGTTACCGCGTTACCCCACGTGTTGTCCTGTGCCTGCCTGCCTTGCCTCGTGACGTGCTGCGCTGCGCGCGCCGTCCTGCAGCCCTTGCGCTGCCTCCTGCTGCCCTAGGCCAGTGCGCCGCCCCTGCAAGCTAGTAAGGCCCTCGAGCCGCACCTGCAGGCCCGTCAGGTCCCCGAGCCGCCTCTGCAGGCCCGCCAGGCCCCCGAGTCGCCCCTGCAGGCCCGTCAGCCCCCCCCCGAGCCGCCACCTGCAGGCCCGTCAGGCCCGCGAGCCGCCCCTGCAGGCCCGTCAGGCCGGCGCGCTGCCCCTGCAGGACCTTACCGCCCGCGCGCGGCCTCTGCCCGACTGCGCGCTGCCCATACAGGCCCTCGCCGCCCGCGCGCAGCCTCTGCCCGACCGTGCGCCGCCCCTGCAGGCCCTCGTCGCCCGCGCGCAGCCTCTGCCTGACCGCGCGCCGCCCCTGCAGGCCCTCGCCGCCCGCGCGCAGCCTCTGCAGGCCCGTCAGGCCAGCGCGCGACCCCGTCAGGTCGACGCGGACGCGGCCCCGCCCTGCCGCGGTCGCGGCCCCGCCCTGCCTGGACGCGGCCCCGCCAGCCCTGAAGCTGACGCGGTCGCGCCCTGCTGCTGACGCGGCCACGCCCTGCTGCTGACGCGGCCCCGCCAGCCCTGCAGCTGACGCGGCCGCGCCCTGCTGCTGACGCGGCCGCGCCCAGCTGCTGACGCGGCCCCCGCCAGCCCTGTAGCTGACGCGGCCGCGCCCTGCCACCGACCCGGCCCCGCCCGGACGCCGACGCGGCCCCGCCAGTCCTGCAGTTGCCGCGGCCCCGACCTGCCGCTGGTGCGACCCCACCCTGCAACTGCCGCGGCCGCGCCCTGCCGCCAACGCGGCCCTGCCTGGACGCTGACGCGGCCCCGACCTGCTGCTGGCGCGACCCAGCCCTACAGCTGTCGCGGCCCTACTCTGCAGCCGCTGTTGCGGCCCCGCCGAGCGCCGGCCCTGCCTGCCACTGGTGAGCACCTGCCTTGTTCGTGCGCTGCCGCCTGCCTGCCTGCCTGCCCGCCTGCCTGCCTGACTGCCTGCCTGCCTGCCTGCCCGCCTGCCTGCCTGCCTGCCTGCCGCGCCTGCCCTGCGCGCGCTGCTGCTGCTACTACTGCTATTGCTACTGCTACTGCTACTGCTGCTACTGGCGACGGCCAGATGCAGCTCCAGCGACGTCCGCGTGAGTCCCTCACGCCCCAGCAGCTTCGTGGGTGGTACGCTAGTTGGGATTGTAGAGGTGGCCGCGCTGCTACTGCTGCTACTGCTGTTACTGCTGCTACTGCTGCTACTGGCGGTGGCCAGATGCAGCTCCAGCGACGTCCGCGCGAGTCTCTCACGCCTCAGCAGCTTCGTGAGTGGTACGCTCAGAGTAGAGGGTCTCTGAGTACCGTTCGCTGCCCGTACGTCATTCGCACTGGTGCTCGGACTGGTCAGGCTTGCGGGATGCTTAGTCACGCACAGTCCCGCTGCTTCACCCGTCTGAGCGACGCCTGGCGTACCGAGTTTGGCGACGAGGCTGAGCTCCCCTACTGGGTGGAGCTGCTTGGGCAGGGGGTAGATATCTATGCTCTTGACTATGATGCTATTCTCACTGCCATGTATGCATTGCCTACTAGTGCTGACCGTGCCTGTTACCTGTGCGTACCGCCTGACCCAGGTATCGAGCCTGCTGCTCTAGGTGCTGGTGAGGCTGCTGCTCTAGGGGCTAGTGTGTCTCCTGCTCTAGGTACGGGTGAGGCTGCTACTCCAGGTGCTGGTGAGTCTGCTCTCTCTGGTACTGCGCCTGCTGAGGCCTTGTACACCTTCACACTTGACTCAGGTGCTTCTCTCTCCTTCTTTCGCGACAGCACCACCCTCACGCCGCTCAGTCGGCCGGTTCCAGTCTCCCTGGCAGACCCCTCTGGGGGTCCAGTCCGTGCGACCTCCTCCACTGTCCTCCCTTGTCCTGCTGTCCCGTCCGGCACACTGTCGGGTCTTTACCTCCCCTCGTTCTCTACGAACTTGGTGGCGGGTTCTGCGCTCCAGGACGCGGGTGTTCACCAGTTCACCCCTGCCTACAAGCGTGTCACACACTGCACGTGTGCTCAGACGGGTCGTCACCTGGCTACCTTCACTCGGCAGCCGGGGTTGGGCCTGTACACACTGACCACTGAGTCCCCTCAGGTAGCTGCGTCTGTGTCTGCGTCAGGTCAGTTGTCGGCCCCCTGCTCGTGTCGCGCCTTGTCGCACCAGACCCTCCTTTGGCACCACCGCCTTGGTCACCCCTCGGTGCAGCGCCTTCGCAGTATGCACCGCCGTGTCCTTGTCTCTGGTCTTCCCAGGGTTCTCCCTCCCCTCCCACCCTCGCCTGCTCCTCCCTGTCTTCCCTGTGTCGAGGGGCGGCAGCGCGCCGCTCCTCACTCCTCCTCGTTCCCTCCCACAGAGGCTCCCCTGCAGACTCTCCACCTGGACGTGTGGGGCCCAGCCCGCGTCCGTGGACAGGGCCACGAGCGGTACTTCCTGCTGGCCGTCGACGACTACACGCGCTACACCACGGTCTTCCCCTTGCGCACCAAGGATGAGGTCCCTGATGTTTTGATCCTTGGATCCGCGCTGCTCGTCTCCAGCTCCGCGAGCAGTTCCAGTCGGACTTTCCCGTCCTGCGTCTGCACTCTGACAGAGGTGGGGAGTTTTCCTCTGACCTCTTGGTAGCCTTCTGTGCGGAGCACGGCATCCGCCAGACGTTCACGCTTCCGGCCTCTCCGCAGCAGAATGGGGTTGCTGAGCGCCGCATTGGCTTAGTCATGGAGGTCGCTCGTACCTCCATGATCCATGCGGCTGCCCCCCATTTTCTGTGGCCGTTTGCGGTCCGGTACGCCGCGCATCAGCTCAACCTCTGGCCCCGTGTCTCCTTGCCGGAGACCTCGCCCACACTGCTGTGGACGGGGAAGGTTGGCGATGCGTCGCATTTCCGGGTCTGGGGTGCTCGTGCCTTTGTCCGCGATACCACCGCGGACAAGCTCTCCGCCCGCGCTGTTCCCTGTGTCTTCCTTGGCTTTGTCCCTGACGCGCCTGGTTGGCAGTTTTACCACCCCACCTCGCGCCGTGTCTTCCCCTCTCAGGACGTCACGTTCGACAAGTCGGTTCCCTTTTACCGTCTCTTCCCCTACCGCACTGCCCCTCTCCCCTCCGCGCCGCTCTTCCTCGCTCCAGGTGCTCCCCAGGTAGACCCCCTCCCCGCTCCCGGTCCTGCTCCTTCAGGTGTGTCTCAGGTAGACCCTCCTCCCTTGACTGCGCCGGTTGAGGTCACTGGTGACTCAGGTCCTGCTGAGGGTGGTCCTTCTCGGAGTACTGCTTCTGGGGGTGCTGAGCCTGGGGGTGCGGAGCCTGGAGGTGCGGAGCCTGGGGGTGCGGAGACTGGAGGTGCTGAGCCTGGTCGTGAGGAGTCTGGGGGTGCTGAGCCTGGGGGTACTAAGTCTGGGGGTGCTGCACCTGGGGGCGCTGAGGCGTCTGGTGAGCAGTCTCCCTGGGGCGGCCGTCTCCGCAGTCGCTTTGCTGGTACCTCGCCGCTGCACTCTCGTCGTCGACTCCCTCTCTCCCCACAGCAGCTGCGTGAGTGGTACGTTGGCCGTCAGGGTCGCGCTGCTGGAGCTAGGGGCCCTGCTGCGGGAGGCGCTGGTGCTGGTGTCTCTGCTACTGGAGTTGTTTCTGCTGGACGTTCTGGAGCTGCTGCGGGTGCTGGAGCTGGAGGTTCTGGAGCTGCTGAGGGTGCTGGCGCTGGAGGTTCTGGAGCTGCTGCGGGTGCTGGCGCTGGAGGTTCTGGAGCTGCTGCGGGTGCTGGCGCTGAGGGTTTTGAGTCTGCTGTTGCGCGGTCTCCTTGGAGTAGCCGCCTTCGTCCGCGTGTGCCTCTCACCTCACAGCAGCTGCACGACTGGTACGGTCGCCGTCAGGGTCGCGCTTCTAGAGCTCGGGGCTCTACCGCTGGAGGTACTTCTGCTGGCGTCACTGGTGCTGGGAGTGGTGCTGGTCCCGGAGGTGCTCGTACTGGAGGTACTGGAGCTGCTGGGGCTGGAGGTGCTGAGCCTGAGGGTGCTCCTGCTGGAGACCTTGGGTTTGGGAGTGCTGCTACTGGAGACACTGAGACTGGAGACCCTGGGACTGGAGGTGCCGGTTCTGGGGGTGCTGCTGCTGGTGGAGCTGGTCCTGGACGAGCTGGCGCTGAGGGTTCTGGAGCTGCTGGAGCTGCTGGAGCTGCTGGGGGTGCTAGAGCTGCTGGTGCTGGTGGAGCTGCTCAGTAGCGCCTGTTCTTTGCTCCACCGTCTCCGTCGTCTCAGCCACCGTCTGACTCTGTACCTCGCCAGGTTCTTAGTCTCCCTTCGTCTACTGGTCTTCCGTTACAGCCTGGCTCACCGCTGCCTGCTCCTTCTCCTTACACTGAGCAGACAGGGGGTCTTACTGAGCGTCGTGAGCCTGCGTCGCGTCCTGTCTCGCCTGTCCGTTCTGGTCGTCCTGGTCGTCGTGTTCCTCGTTCGCGTCAGCCGGCTGTCACCGGCACCCACCTCGTAGTCCGTCGTCCTTCCTCTCCTCCGCAGCGTGTTCCCCTGCCGTCCCCTCCTGCGTCTTCTCTGCCTGCCATTCTTGAGCCTGAGTCTGACCGCACCCGTGTTGCTCACTCTACTGTCACGCGTCTGCTAGCCACAGTTGTCACTGACCCGTCGTTTGAGT